AATCCCTTACCGAGACTTTGGTACGAGTAAACTATGTTTAAAAAAACTATAAATAAGGGAGCCTAAAAACATTCAAACATTTAGAATATCCATGAAAGACTTTTGCAATCATCTTAAATTTAGGCTTCATAGGATACGAAACAGAGAGGATTTAAGATACAACCCTAAACCAAAGAATATGAAATGAAAGGTTATGATACGGAGAGATAGGATCAGATACGGTACCAGAGGGTTTATAATATGAACAGAAACAATACGTTAGGATACGATAGAAATCCTACGATACGGGCTGATCTGAAATTATATGAAACGATGCAACATGATACAAATGGATGTTATACAATATTGTTCCCATGTGTATGGGACAAGAGACTCAGGCCTGTATCACAGTTCTCAAGCCTGACTAGAGTATTTTGGAGGGAACTGAACAAAGGGGTCTTAGCCCAGCAACCCCCCAACAGAAACCAACGAATAGGTGTGAAAAGTGGGGGGGTGTCTGAATTCTCTATCCTCATTGGAGGAGGCCTGAGGTAAACCCACAGGCAGCTCCAGTCTTTAAAAGCAATCACCAGGCATTGCTTCCTTCTCTTCAAGTGTGGTCTGCCGACACCAGAGGATACCCTCTCCATATGATGGACTCCAGCATTCGAGACAAACCCTTTCCTTCTCTTCAAGTGTTGTCTGCTGACACCAGAGGATGCCCTCTCCAACAAGATGGACTCCATCATTCGAGACAAAGCCTTTCCTCCTCTTGACTTACATAGGTTAAACTCCAGAGCTGAGGTTGCTCAGTATAGGTAGCTCTTCACATGCTGAATTCAAGCATCAGAGGATTCAGCTGACTACTTCCACTGCATATTTTTAGGAGTTTTGGGCGCAATCAGATGCTATCAGGTTCGAGCAAAAAGAAGAGTTTCTTTCCTTTGATTTTTCGTAAGACGTCATTGAACGCAACTGGACAGGAGCGCTGAAGGAAGCCCACTGATCCCTGAATCCACAAGGACACATAAAGAACTCGGCTCCTGCAACCAGAAGACCCTATAGAGCAGCGCTCTGGTCGAAGATGTGAATCCCGCTACCCTCCTCCTATATCTGCCACGAAGGAAACCTGCCTGAATCTGTTGATTTAACATTCAACAGAGTGACGATCTAACCAACTTTGCAACGATCACCAGGAGTTACCCCAAGTAAGAGCTTTGGTCTGGGTAGAAATAGTTTCAGAAATAGTTATGTTTCTTTTATAACCACTGATAATTATGCATCATTGTTGACGACACGTCACATTCTGTATATTATCTGTTGTAAGCTGCCGCATTTGTTTTATTGTAATGAACTGCTGTGTTTGTTTATGTGTGTAATGCTATGCTAGTTTACCTTCAGTCAACGGCTTTCACAATCAGAAAGACCAGTGTACCCGCCGTTGAATCAAAGTCCGGCCACTGGCTTTCTGGTGTTTAAGTAACAGTTACTGAACTCAGCTCAGAGAGCTCAAACTATTTCAAAAGGTAGCCACACGACTTCCTTTGTTGTCCACCATTTTTGTCACCATGTGACGAAGCCACAGGGTGCATTGTCTCTCTCCACCATCTTGTTCTCTCTATCTCTCTCTCTCTCTCTCTCTCTCACACATCTACATACACACTCATCTGCACACACACACATTTACACCTCATCCACAAGCCTTTGCTTGATAATGTTTGTTGCTTAGATTAGTTTATAATAGTTATTTGTTTAATTAAGTTCATTGATTTTGGATTGATGTTGCTTTGTTTAAATAAATTCTGTTATAATTTAAGAGAGCAGTTGTTTGTGATTACTGGTGTATTTGCATTGTGATATAAGCTGGGTAAGAAGGCTTTGTGTACGGATTTCACGCCTTCAATTTATTAAATATAGTTATTCATTATTAATAATATTAGTAATTAAATAACTAATTTGAGACTGATTTGAGTGATATTTTGGTTATATTTACCTGATTACAGGTTGGTGCCCCAAAATGAGATTAAACATAGTTTAATGATATTTTATTTATATTATTAATAATTAAGTATAATTATTAAAGAATATAACCAAAGTTGACTTGATACAACCCCAACAATATGAAACAATACGCAAGGATATATTAAAGTATGACTCAGTATGATTTTACCAACGAGTATGATACTATATGATATGATAAGAAACGAAACAATACAATTTGAAAGGATACGAAACATATCAAATTTGTTTCGTTGCAATGTGAAACGGCACAACTACGATATGATACTGTAAAGTATGTTACGATTCGTTCACAATTTAGTTCAAAGTTTCTTAATTTGTTTGCATGGTTGGACTGTTTCATCCGTTTGATGATAAGAGGTACTACTCATAGAGGAGGATGTTACCCCCAATTTCCACAATCCGTCAGCGGCATGCACTACGCCGCCATTAAACGCCACTCTCAGCGCCACTACGCTCTACTCCATTTAAAATACGTCTATTTTTGCTGATGGACAAAAAATCTTCCTCAGAAAGACAAAACAACTTGTAGTACTCCTGTGACCTTTTAGCTCTCCTGTGATCTTTTAGCTCTCCTGTGATCTTGTAGTTCTCCTGTTATTTTGTAGTTCTGTGATCTTGTAGTTCTTATGTGATCTTGTATTTCTCCCGAGATCTTTTAGTTCTCCTGTGATCTTGTAGTTCTCCTGTGACCTTTTAGCTCTCCTTTGATCTTGTAGTTCTCCTGTGATCTTGTAGTTCTCCTGTGATCTTTTAGCTCTCCTGTGATCTTGTAGTTCTCCTGTTATTTTGTAGTTCTGTGATCTTGTAGTTCTCCTGAGATCTTGTAGTTCTCATGTGATCTTGTAGTTCTCCTGGGATCTTGTAGTTCTCATGTGATCTTGTAGTTCTCATGTAATCTTGTAGTTCTCATGTGATCTTGTAGTTCTCATGCTATCTTGTAGTTCTCCTGAGATCTTGTAGTTCTCCTGAGATCTTGCAGTTCTCCTGTGATCGTTTAGCTCTCCTGAGATCTTGTAGTTCTCCTGTGGTCTTATAGTTCTCATGTGATCTTGTAGTTCTCCCGTGATCTTGCAGTTCTCCTGAGATGTGTGTACAGCTGCACATGGCTGAGTTCACGTTCCAGAAACGGACCCAGTGGGGCAGGGTGAGCGCCACCTAACGAAGTAAAACCATGGCGCTGATGGACCGTGATGCGCACGGAGTATATGTAAATTGGGGGTCAGGCGGGTAAGACATCACTCTCGGTGCTTATAGACGGTTCATACATCATTCCCTCAAATTCCCTGAATAATACCAGGAATTTAAAAAGAATATGAAATATGAAGAAGACCTTGGATGAAGTTGAAATTCCGACTTTGACTTCCGAGTGTGCAGAATACAAAGATCATTTGAAAACATAAAATCGTTTGAAATTTATGTTGACTTGTTTCTTTGGGTCACACAGACTTTTGTAAGGAACTTGTTTGCGCCAAAGTGGCACCACTGAGGTCACAGGGATGCCCCCTGTGTCCGGGTCTGTCTCAGTTGGTTTAGTTTGTGTGTTTATCCTCAGGCTTGTATATTTTCTTACAGTGAGCCGCTGACACGGAGTCCTTTGTGTGAACACACTGCCGGTTAAATCCAATCTGTTTCAAGTTTATTTTTACACAAACAATAATAACCATTAAAAACATAAAGCAGCAGCAGATATTAAAGGTTTTTAAAATGAATGATCTAAATATTTCGGCTTCATATTTCTGCCTTTCAGTAGCAGACATTTTTAGCTCCCATTCAAAACAGCAGTTTTTATTCTGCTCCATTCAGAGCGTCTCAGAGTCGCTTCATGTAAATGAAGGAGTAATGCACGCACCTGCAGGCCTGTTTTAACACACATATCATGTAGATCCAATCAGATGAGACTTCTTACATCATACTGTTGTTTTTAAGTGTCCTGTATGTACACTGCTGAGTGAACCGTGTGGCTGCTCAGGTTAGCGTACCTCGTGTGTCTCTTGTTCTGTCACTCTCCTAAACTGACCCTTACAGAGTTGTTTTGAATATGCATCGTCCCTATTCAACTGTACAATTGATAAATAAAGGAATGAAATCCAGGACCGACATTAGTTCCCACTCCTTCAAATCCATCTTTTGTCTGCACAGTTTATTCTTTGGACACAGGTTAACACAGATCGAGTGTCTATGCTACATATTTGATGATGATGTTTTAATGCTCGTTCTGCTGAATAAAGATGTGAATCACTTTGTCAGTGGTATTTCATTTCATACATTTACGTATGCAGCTGATGGATTTCAGTCAAATTAAACCAAAGATGGGGTCAGAGAGATATAAATGAACATGCTTTCCTGTCAGTAATCTCTAATAATAAATAATAATACAGATTCATCTTATTACATTATTCAATTGTGCTTATATTTAAATGAACAGTTGTCAAAGTAAAGCTTTTGAGTGAGTGAACATCAGTTTGACTCACAATCCTTCATCATAGTGAAGCTTGATCAAAATAATGATACAGCGCCCCTCAGTGGATGCACAGTGTAAGTACACCCTCTGTTTTGCATTTTTCATCACTACGGTTGAGACTTTATTGCAAAGTCAAATCTGCACATTAAAACATGATCCTAATAACCAGCTCGTGTGTTTATTCAGTTTTTTTTGTGATTGATTTCTAAATCATCAAACTTTGGATACTTGATGGGTTTTTGTTTCTGATAAAGAAGGTCTTTCCCTCAGGAAAATAATGAGAACAGACATCACATGATTTGAGTCTCCTCTAACAAACCTCCTACATTAATTGTCTGAAAAGAAATATATCAGTAAATCAAGCAAACAAATTGAAGTTCAAATTAAGTAACTGGTTCAAAATGTTTCAGATACAGGTCAAATAATTCTTTTTTCTTTGTTATTAGTTTTAATAAATTGCTGTATTGTTCAAACTTGATCAGGAACCCTTGTACATCATCTCATTTCAGTTATTAATCATCAAAAGAAATCTAGAGAGTCTTTTAAGTTATGAACTTTTATTAACATAAAGTGCATCAAAAGCAATAAACAACATTTACTGTTATAAAATCAGATCCTAAATGAAACTAATACCTAGTTCACAGAGTATGGCCTGACTCTGGTAGTCGGCTGTTTTCTCTGTTTATGTCTTTCATTTATGTTCAACGTGTGTTTAGATCCGAAGTCAGGGTTTGTATAGACCACCACAATCATTTCTTAACCTGCAGTCGGAAGGTTTGCAGGGACCAAAGTTTTCTTCAACATTAAGAAAGAGGAGAGAGACAAGTTATAGTTTCAGATCAGTAAAAGAGAGACTCATCAGCATAACGATGAATAGCAGAGTTTGGAATATTTTAGTTCAAAGCAGTTTATGTGACTTGTAAACAACATTGAACCCAAGAATGATGACTTACAAGGAATTTTGGCTTTGAAAATAATGGTGTACTAAAATCCATGGGTTGTGTAGTGTGTGTGTGTGTGTGTGTGTGTGTGTGTGTGTGTGTGTGTGTGTGTGTGTGGGGGGGGGGGGGGTGGAGGGGTGGGGAGTTGAGTCTCTTTCTGAATCTTGGTGAAGGATGGTAATTAATACCTTTGTTCTTTGGACTCTTGGCCATTTGTTATTCTAAAAAATGGAAATAAATTAGGAAAGAAAGTGTTGCGGCCAAAAACTTCCACGGGATACTGAGCCCCTGAAAGCTCAGTTAAGAAAAAAAAGCTGTTTGTAAATCAGTTCCCACGGTTCACAAATCCATGTGCGAGGCTTAAAATCAGATCTGCTATCAGTGGCTGATAGCACAGATTGCCCAAATCCTTGCACAGTTTACAAATCCGTGCATATGGGCTCTAAATGAATGCACACAGTTTACAGAACAGTAGCAGATTATATGAATCTGTGCACAATGTTTATGAAACAATGCACACAGTTTAAGTAAATTGCATAGTTTATCCCTCAATTGGCACAGATTTACAAACAGCTTCTTATTTTTTCTGATCTGATGGCCTTAATGTTACTTCAACCTTTTTGCTTGTTATCATTGTAACTTTGAATTGCTGCCAGGTCTCCTTGTTAAAGAGATCTTTAATCTGAATGTGTCAAACCTGGTCAATTAACATATAAATAGAAATAAAATAAATAACAATATTCAAAAACTAATTTGTAGCCTAATAATAATACAAATAATAACAACTGCCTCTCTTTGGTAAACTTGAACAAGTCCAGACACATTTTAACATCAGATATCGATTGTGATCGGTTGCGCCAAATCATAACAAATGTTAGCAGCAGACGATTTACAGAAAGAGTAGGTCTTGACTGTACTAGCGGTTATAGTACTTACAACCTTTTCAACACACTCAACACTAATCCAACATGAGCACAGCACTAAGCAACTCAAAATATTGATGTGTATGCTTTCATTTTTTAAAAATACTTCAAATGGCGGTGTGTAATTGGAAAAGAGTTACTCATGATGATGAATGAAAAATAAATAATCGTCACTCCTGCAGATCTGCTGCAGCGCAGATGAGATCTATAGACTGTGAATTTGTTTTTTTGAACACTGCAAATCATTTTTCATGTTTTCTTGTTTCTTTTTCATTTCTTTTTCTAAGGCACTTAAATAACTCTTTGTTTATTTACAGTTATATTTTCTAAGACAAAGTTTCTTGGTGTGCCACTCAGACATCCCAGGACGTCCTGATCTGAGGCCTGTTGATCCTCATCTGTGAAGAGCAAGAAAGAAAGAAACATAAACATGACGTTAACGTATCAATAAAATAATCAAAAGTGTGGAAGGATGGAGATTCTTCACATTTAAAATTTATCTTGAGACCGAGATTATCACTCAGAGCAAAAGATTGTGTGTTGGAGTGGATGTAAAAACTGACCGGCTGGTTGACTGAGTTTCTGAGTTGACGGGCTGGACCAGCAGACTGTGAGTATCCAGAAATATTAGAAGGAGTGATGTGTCTGTGAGCTTGTCGTGACGGGGGGAACATGCCCGCTGACTGTCTGTAGTCAATCTGTGAAGATGGACGCGTCGGCTGGTAGGCAGGTAGAGGTTGTCTGTAAACATCTAGGTCCTCTAAGTGGACGGTTGCTTCGCTCTGAGTGAATGTGGGGTTTCCGTAAACTTCTGAAATTAGAACAAAAGAAAGGGTTAATTTAAAGACCACATACAGAGTAAATTACCTTTATCATGTAATTTTGTGTAGCAAAAAAACTGACCGATTTAAACATTAAGTCAAACAAATAAACAAACTGGTCGAGGCAGCAGTAAACCAACATCCCTCTGTGTCCTGTGAGGATAAATCTTTGTTTTTCTGAATTTAGTGTGGTGCGTTTGTAGACAGTGATGTAACAGCTGTTTGTGGCTAAAACATCTTCCTCTGTAGGGATACTTTCTGTCATGTTGTCACACACAGAATAACAATCTGAACCTGTCAGGGACTAAAATGACAATGTTACATTCTGTTTACCTGCTGCAGACGTTACAGTCTGTTTACCTAATGCAGACGTTACAGTCTGTTTACCTGCTGCAGACGTTACATTCTGTTTATCCGCTGCAGACGTTACAGTCTGTTTACCCGCTGCAGACGTTACATTCTGTTTACCCGCTGCAGACGTTACAGTCTGTTTACCCGCTGCAGACGTTACAGTCAGTTTACCCGCTGCAGACGTTACAGTCTGTTTACCCGCTGCAGATGTTACAGTCAGTTTATCTGCTGCAGACGTTATAGTCTGTTTACCCGCTGCAGACGTTACAGTCAGTTTATCTGCTGCAGACGTTACAGTCTGTTTACCCGCTGCAGACGTTACAGTCTGTTTACCCGCTGCAGACGTTACAGTCTGTTTACCTGCTGCAGATGTTACAGTCTGTTTACCTGCTGCAGGCCGAGCAGATCTACAACAACAATCTCTAAACTTTTTGTACCTATCAGTCTTTTCCATCCTGACATGTAAAAGTCTAATATGCTTTAAGACTTTAATCTTTATTAGTCAATAGTTTGATACTGTTTCCATAGCGTGTTTATACACCAGTTTTTGTTGTATGTCCTCCCTTTATACTGCATGATGATAACCTGTAGATTAGACCTAACCCTGATTAGACCTAACCTTGAAACCTCTCCCAGTGAACTTCAGACCTGCCTCTGCGAGTCCACAAAGCACACAAACACTCCCTGTAGCACTCCCTTCCCTTATTTCTTAGGTTTATAATTTTCTCAATGTTAAACTTAACAGATAATCACAACCAACATTGGCATTTCCAAAGCCCTAAGACCAAATATATCATTGCTTTTTTTTCTCTATATAAACCCTGTTATTGTGGTGCTAAAACTTGACACTCCTAAAACGTCTGCAGTAAAAACGTAATTCTAACAACTGCTGCAACAACACTCACAGAGGGAGAGAATGTGTGTGTTTGTGTACTTGTGTGTAGATATATATATATATATATATATATATATCTATCTTGAGGGGACCTCCGTGTCATTTCTAGTTTCTACTATAGGTGTTTACGTGTTTTAGACTTAGAAGCCCACACTTGGTCATTGAAGAAGAAGAGTCCACGGTTTGTCCCTTGGGCGAGTGTGTGATTGTGTGTACGTGTGTAATAAATGCATTACCATCACCGTCAATGTTTGATCTGGACCACTCAAAGTCCTCGTTCAGCCACTGATTCACCAGCTTGTCTTTTATGTCTTTGTATCTGCAGACAAAGCAGAGAAACAGTCAGATTTTATTACGAGAATAAACATTTATCCTGCAGTATGAAAAAAGTAAAATTTAACACAACTAGAAAAATTGCATTTCCTTGCAGAAAATGCGTTGAAATTCTGAAAACTGATATGCAATAAGAAATAGTTGAAAATGTAGAGAATGAAATATAATAATTGAAAGCTGTTACTTTTTTTAAAGAGTCTTTAGAAAACTATTTTTATGAATTGGTGCTATACAAATAAGTTTGATTAATCATAAAATGATTGCCATGCTGAACAACCTGAAAAGTAAGATGAAAATAACATCATGACAGCTAAGCTAAAGCTAAAGTGTAGGAACATTTTACCACCGGTGAGAATCTCACCTCCTCTGTTTGTTCCTTAATACGAACGCCGCCAGGAATCCCACCAGCACCAAGAGAACAGTGAGCGTCACACTCAGCCCGGCAAAGAACGGCGTCCTCTGTATGGGCAGTCTGCAGTCATCGCTCAGGTACCAGGTGGAGGACAAGTCCACACAACTGAAAGAGGAAGGAGAAGAATGTTAAACTAAAGAGACGGGGAGGAACAAAAAGCAACAGTTTAAACTCTCTTTCAAACTAAACCTCCTCTGATCAAACAGATAAGAAGGCGGGAATTAGATCATGTGATACAAATATCTGGCACTGATCATGTTAATTCAAATATCTTAAATGTAAAAAATATTTTTAAATTATTATATTTAATCTCCATGTTTAAACTAAACATGAGGGTGCTGCTCAAAGCATCCTGGGATACCTAGCTATGCTAACGAAGCAACAACAAGCTCCACATGAGGTTTTCAAAGTGTTAAAATCAGCTGCTCATTGCTGAAAGTATTATCCATTTAACAAGAGCCTCTTTCATCAGACTGTGAAGACGTAAAAATAAAAATATCAACATGAAACAATGCAGCAGAGGGAGACAGAAACAGGACTGTGTGACAGCGGAGTAAAACTTACTGGCAGAGTGGCCCGGTGGCTTTAAACACTTTGCACACTCCCTTGTTGTAGCATGTTTTATGCTTATCGTGTTTCTGATGGCAGGCAGTCACACAGGTTACCTTCTTATTAACCTCCGCAGCCTGGTAGAAATCAGTCACATCTGCATCCTCATTCAGCCTTTCACAGACCGCTGGTGAAAGACAGGAAGAAGAAGAAGAAGAGGATGAAAACACTCGATAAGCAGTGTGCATGCAAAAACAGTTATGGCTTCTTTATAACACCAGCAGGACACGTTAAAGAAATACCACCATGTCCTAGATACATTACCTCTGTTTATTATTAAATGTAATATTTAAACATCTGAAGCAGTGGCGGCTGGTCAATAGAGGGCACTAGGGCGACTCAACCATTTAGCACGGATAAGATTTTTAAAATCAGTTTTTAATATCGTCTGAACTGCAAAGTACATTTTGTGTAGTTATTGTATAAAAAGTATAATCTGCAATAAAAACATAGATTTAAAACCGTTCTGCGTGTCTAAAGTTACTGACTTGTGACGTGTTTCTGGTCTTGAGTGCTAGCTCTGGTCCAGTGCTCAGGGCCGCCATTGACCTGCGTTATCATTTGCTCATTTGCTCCTCTTCAATAAAAGAGATAGGAGCTTCGATGGGCGCTGGAAAAATGAACGCATTACACACCACCACCCAAAAGGAGGCAGCAGAGAGACATGTCCCATGAACTGAGACATAAAGAGCGAGTCATGCAGCGTCACTGGATCAGAGCATTGACTGTTTATAAAGATGGATCAGAGCAGCAGACCAGACGAGCGTGAGGCTGCCTCCACAGAGGAAACATATGTCTGGAAGTAAGAGTGCATGTGGTGATGTTTGTTGAGTATACTTATTTAGTAATAAGTTAAAATTATCGCAATGCTAATTCTGTTAGCCAGTTCATGGCTGAGAGTTTTGTGTTTTTGTAAATTACTCTGTTGTTTAAAACAAATAAGGGGCTAGAATTGAAAACTAGAAGATAGCTACAAACCATGAGCAACATGTTTCATTCTATGTTGTGGAACCTGAACAATGAAAATCACTTTCCAATCAAATAATATTCAAATTATGTCACATGCTCAGTCTATAAAGAAGATTCTCAAAGGAATTTAAATTGTTAACATATCCTTTGAGTCATTCTTTTAAGCTTAACACACACACACACACACAACACACACACACACACACACACACACACACACACACACACACACACACACACAGGCACACACACACACACACACATGCACACACCCACATACACATTTTCAAACAAATACAGGACTTATGGAGATACTGACATTGAAGATCTAGTTCTGTAGGCGTCACTGTCGGCTTCACTGTGACATTAAAACTCGGACAGTCTGAAAATTAAAAAACAAAAAGATAACAATCAGTTTATTAAAATTGTGTACATTACATTTACATTATTATTATTTTTCAATTTCTTTGGTATCAGCCGTTTATTTACCCATGCTTGTATCACAGCACCAACAAGTTCTCCAACCCTAATCAACAAGTTTTTTTTCCCCCTACTATCTAATAGAATGGTTCTCAAAAGATGACACCATCATTATTAATTTTCTTCAATGTCCAAGAGGAGGCGTCTCCACTGGTTGTAAACAGAATTCAGATTGTGAAGAAGTCTATGATAAAATGTTTCTATAGTCAGGTGATTTATTACCTCAGTAAACATTTTCCTAGAATAGAATAGAATATATCTTTATTGTCATTGCTATAAAAACAACGAGAAACAATTTAGCAGCTCCAGTCATTTCCAGCACACACAGATGGACGGTAAGGCATTTCACCGCCTGTGGAAAAAACTGTTTCTGAGTCTGTTTTATGAATTTATGATCTCAATCTCCGGTTTCAAGTCTTCTTCAAAACAATTTCATGTTCATTTAATAAATAATGGTAAAATTTAAAGTCAAAGAGACCAGAAAGCAGGCGAGGAGTTGGAGGGGCTACCTGTGATTGACAAGCTGCTACAATGGTGACCTGAAAAATATCTTGTGTAATGTCCGATTTACTTGAAAACATTCTGAGGACTCAGCTATTTATTTTCTAAAGTAAACACATTTTGTTTAGAGTCCAATTTAATATCACAAACACTAAAATTACAGATGCACCTTGCTTTCTGAGGTAGCTGTAGCTGAAGACTTAGCAAGAAGAGCAAGGGTTTCCCTCCCTCCTCCCCAGCTCCACCCCTTTTTCCAAATACGGTTCCTTCTGGCACCAAAAACCAGAAAAGATTGAGTAAAAATGCCAAACTTCAGGATACAAACCATCAGCTATGCAACAAAGTCACATCAAGGTAGCTACCTCCACATTTGATACACAGTCTATGTTAAGAAGTCAATGTTAGCATGCTAACATGTTAAAACATGATGTTGATGTAAAAAGAAAACTACATCAGTGTGTGTGCACATCAACCACTACTAGTTGGACTTTCCTTATCCTTATCACAAGCTCTAAATCCTCATAAAGGATTGTTTTTTTTCTAATCTTGTGTTTTCATGTGCACACACTATTGGGAAATGTCTCTCTTACCTAGAGTGCAGCCAACAAGGTCACCAACAGCCTCCGTAATTTCTTCAGTATTATTCACATATTTATCCTCATAATCAGGGTTATTTGGAATTGCCAGGATGACATCATGTTTGACATTAACACTGATGGGGAGAGAATTCAATATGTCAGTTTCAGTTGGTTTTAAAAGAAAATATTCAAAAATGCAACAAATAACACAATTCAAAACATGAGATGTTGCTGAGATTATCAGAATGCTCTGTCTATTTTTAGTCTCTTTACAATTTCATTTGTTTTATTGTTTCCTGGTTAAATATTGTTAAAAATAAATTATATTTTAAGTTGCAATAAGTCAGATGATGATAAACTAGCTTCATGGTGAGACACCTAAGCATTTTAAATCTAGTTAAATGTAACTGTTGACACCGCTGGTAGAATAAGCAGTACAGCTGGATTTGTTGTCTCATTTGATAATACATATACAGTATCTGTAAAAGCTGACACCTATTGATAAAGCAGACACAAATTTTCCAGATAAGACAAGCGTGGTAATTGAGATCAAATGCCCTGAGTGATGTAAAAACTTCAAAGTCAACTTGTGATACAGCCATAATACAGTCCAGTACATCTTTATGTCATTGGACATTTCATTCTCTACTTACCCGACTCTTGTTGGTGTGAGATCTGTGCCTTCAGCCCTTAATTGTATCTGAAATGGTATGAAAAAAACCCAGTTACATTTTATTTGATCTTTTCTCTGAACTATTGGCAATATTTTTTTAAATTATTCACCTCTTCCACAATGTTGGTTGATAATCTGCCCAATGGGCTTCCTGGGCTATAAAGGAACAAGAGAAACAATCTTAAGGAGAAGAAGATTTGCCACCAAAACCAGTTGTTTTAAAAACAGTTTTAAAATTGATTATAAAAAATGAAAAGTACATCACCTGACACTTATGACCACCACTTCTTTAACATTTTCTATCCTTGTTTTGTAATATTCCTCCATCTGAAAATAGTGACATAATAAAATATCAATATCTTCATGATATTAGTTTAGGTCATATAATTGTGTTTTCCTTTTATTTAATACAAGAAGAAAATACACAGTGATATAAATAAAACATTTAGGTTAAATCCAATTAGACATCTCTTTGGAGAATAATCTTTTATTTCTCTTTAAATGGACGGATGTCCTGTTATTGTTTGTGCTTCTTCAGACTAATACTCTGTAGCCATGTATCTCACCTGGCTGGTGAAGTTTCCAACAAATTCTTTGTATTCCTGTGATTCCTCATCCTCATATTCATCAATATATTCCTCATTGATGTCTATATTAACCACAACTGTTCTGTTGATTGTATCTGTATGGACATAGAAATATTTCATTAAATATCAGTGAAGAATAAAGTTAAAATAATGTTGTCTTACTATAGTTATTTAATTTACCTGGCTCAACAGCAACTTCAACATCTTCACAGACAGGTCCAATAAATCCAATGAGACATGAGCAGTTGTAACCATTGTCAGTTCCTCCGTTTTTGCAAATTAAAGGCTTACGAGTAGTGGATTGGGTAGTTGGTTGAATTGTTGGAGTGATAGGTGGTGTAGTTGAAGGTACAGTTGTAACCTCAGTTGTACCAGGCTTATCAGTTATGGGAGTGCCCTCAGTAGGTCCACTTGTTGCCTCAGTTGTGCCAGGCAAATCAGTTGTTGGCGTGCCCTCAGTTGGTCCACTTGTTACCTCAGTTTTGCCAGGCTGATCAGTTGCGCCAGGCAGATCACTTGTGGGTGTGCCCTCAGTTGGCCCACTGGTCTTCTCAGTGGTGACAGGCTGATCAGTTGTGGGAGTGCCCTCTGTTTGTCCACTTGTTGCCTCAGTTGTGACAGACTGATCAGTTGTGGGCGTGCCCTCAGTTGGTCCACTCGTTGCCTCAGTGGTGACAGGCTGATCAGTTGTGGGGGTGCCCTCAGTTGGTCCACTCGTTGCCTCAGTTGTGCCAGGCTTATCAGTTGTGGGCGTGCCCTCAGTTGGTCCACTTGTTGCCTCAGTGGTGACAGGCTGATCAGTTGTGGGAGTTCCCTCAGTTGGCCCACTGGTCTTCTCAGTTGTGACAGGCTGATCAGTTGTGGGAGTGCCCTCTGTTTGTCCACTTGTTGCCTCAGTTGTGACAGGCTGATCAGTTGTGGGAGTGCCCTCAGTAGGTCCACTCGTAGCCCAGTTGTGACAGGCTGATCAGTTGTGGGAGTGCCCTCAGTTGGTCCACTCGTTGCCTCAGTTGTGACAGGCTGATCAGTTGTGGGAGTGCCCTCAGTAGGTCCACTCGTTGCCTCAGTTGTGACAGGCTGATCAGTTGTGGGTGTGCCCTCAGTTGGTCCACTCGTTGCCTCGGTAGTGACAGGCTGATCAGTTGTGGGGTGCCCTCAGTTGGTCCACTCGTTGCCTCGGTTGTGACAGGCTGATCAGTTGTGGGCGTGCCCTCAGTTTGTCCACTCGTTGCCTCAGTTGTGACATGCTGATCAGTTGTGGGGGTACCCTCAGTAGGTCCACTCGTTGCCTCAGTTGTGCTAGGCTTACCAGTTGTGGGCGTGCCCTCAGTTGGTCCACTCGTTGCCTCAGTGGTGACAGGCTGATCAGTTATGGGCGTGCCCTCAGTTGGTCCACTCGTTGCCTCAGTTGTACCAGGCTGATCAGTTGTGGGAGTTCCCTCAGTTGGCCACTGGTCTTCTCAGTTGTGACAGGCTGATCAGTTGTGGGAGTGCCCTCAGTAGGTCCACTTGTTGCCCCAGTTGTGACAGGCTGATCAGTTGTGGGAGTGCCCTCAGTAGGTCCACTTGTTGCCCCCGTTGTGACAGGCTGACCAGTTGTACCAGGCTGATCAGTTGTGGGAGTTCCCTCAGTTGGCCCACTGGTCTTCTCAGTTGTGACAGGCTGATCAGTTGTGGGAGTGCCCTCAGTAGGTCCACTTGTTGCCCCAGTTGTGACAGGCTGATCAGTTGTGGGAGTGCCCTCAGTAGGTCCACTTGTTGCCCCAGTTGTGACAGGCTGATCAGTTGTGGGAGTGCCCTCAGTAGGTCCACTTGTTGCCCCAGTTGTGACAGGCTGATCAGTTGTGGGAGTGCCCTCAGTTGGTCCACTTGTTGCCTCGGTTGTACCAGGCTGATCAGTTGTGGGAGTTCCCTCAGTTGGCCCACTGGTCTTCTCAGTTGTGACAGGCTGATCAGTTGTGGGAGTGCCCTCAGTAGGTCCACTTGTTGCCCGGTTGTGACAGGCTGATCAGTTGTGGGAGTGCCCTCAGTTGGTCCACTTGTTGCCTCGGTTGTGACAGGCTGATCAGTTGTGGGAGTGCCCTCTGTTGGTCCACTTGTTGCCTCGGTTGTGACAGGCTGATCAGTTGTGGGAGTGCCCTCAGTTGGTCCACTTGTTGCCTCGGTTGTGAAAGGCTGATCAGTTGTGGGAGTGCCCTCAGTAGGTCCACTTGTTGCCCAGTTGTGACAGGCTGATCAGTTGTGGGAGTGCCCTCAGTTGGTCCACTTGTTGCCTCGGTTGTGACAGGCTGATCAGTTGTGGGAGTGCCCTCAGTTGGTCCCCTTGTTGCCTCGGTTGTGACAGGCTGATCAGTTGTGGGAGTTCCCTCTGTTGGTCCACTTGTTGCCTCGGTTGTGAAAGGCTGATCAGTTTTGGGAGTGCCCTCAGTTGGTCCACTTGTTGACTCGGTTGTGACAGGCTGATCAGTTGTGGGAGTTCCCTCTGTTGGTCCACTTGTTGCCTCGGTTGTGAAAGGCTGATCAGTTGTGGGAGTGCCCTCAGTTGGTCCACTCGTTGCCTCGGTTGTGACAGGCTGATCAGTTGTGGGAGTGCCCTCAGTTGGTCCACTCGTTGCCTCGGTAGTGATAGGCTGATCAGTTGTGGGGGTGCCCTCAGTTGGTCCACTCGTTGCCTCGGTTGTGACAGGCTGATCAGTTGTGGGCGTGCCCTCAGTTTGTCCACTCGTTGCCTCAGTTGTGACAGGCTGATCAGTTGTGGGGTGCCCTCAGTAGGTCCACTTGTTGCCCAGTTGTGACAGGCTGATCAGTTGTGGAAGTGCCCTCAGTTGGCCCACTGGTCTTCTCAGTTGTGACAGGCTGATCAGTTGTGGGAGTGCCCTCAGTAGGTCCACTTGTTGCCTCGGTTGTACCAGGCTGATCAGTTGTGGGAGTTCCCTCAGTTGGCCCAGTGGTCTTCTCAGTTGTGACAGGCTGATCAGTTGTGGGAGTGCCCTCAGTAGGTCCACTTGTTGCCCAGTTGTGACAGGCTGATCAGTTGTGGGAGTGCCCTCAGTAGGTCCACTTGTTGCCCCAGTTGTGACAGGCTGATCAGTTGTGGGAGTGCCCTCAGTTGGTCCACTTGTTGCCTCGGTTGTGACAGGCTGATCAGTTGTGGGCGTGCCCTCTGTTGGTCCACTTGTTGCCTCGGTTGTGACAGGCTGATCAGTTGTGGGAGTGCCCTCAGTTGGTCCCTTGTTGCCTCGGTTGTGACAGGCTGATCAGTTGTGGGAGTTCCCTCTGTTGGTCCACTTGTTGCCTCGGTTGTGAAAGGCTGATCAGTTGTGGGAGTGCCCTCAGTTGGTCCACTTGTTGCCTCGGTTGTGACAGGCTGATCAGTTGTGGGAGTTCCCTCTGTTGGTCCACTCGTTGCCTCGGTTGTGACAGGCTGATCAGTTGTGGGAGTGCCCTCAGTATGTCCACTCGTTGCCTCGGTTGTGACAGGCTGATCAGTTGTGGGAGTGCCCTCAGTTGGTCCACTCGTTGCCTCGGTAGTGATAGGCTGATCAGTTGTGGGGGTGCCCTCAGTTGGTCCACTCGTTGCCTCGGTTGTGACAGGCTGATCAGTTGTGGGCGTGCCCTCAGTTTGTCCACTCGTTGCCTCAGTTGTGACAGGCTGATCAGTTGTGGGGTGCCCTCAGTAGGTCCACTTGTTGCCCCAGTTGTGACAGGCTGATCAGTTGTGGGAGTGCCCTCAGTTGGCCCACTGGTCTTCTCAGTTGTGACAGGCTGATCAGTTGTGGGAGTGCCCTCAGTTGGCCCACTGGTCTTCTCAGTTGTGACAGGCTGATCAGTTGTGGGAGTGCCCTCAGTAGGTCCACTTGTTGCCCCAGTTGTGACAGGCTGATCAGTTGTGGGAGTGCCCTCAGTAGGTCCACTTGTTGCCTCAGTTGTGACAGGCTGATCAGTTGTGGGAGTGCCCTCAGTAGGTCCACTTGTTGCCTCGGTTGTGACAGGCTGATCAGTTGTGGGAGTTCCCTCTGTTGGTCCACTCATTGCCTCGGTTGTGAAAGGCTGATCAGTTGTGGGAGTGCCCTCAGTTGGTCCACTTGTTGCCTCGGTAGTGATAGGCTGATCAGTTGTGGGGTGCCCTCAGTTGGTCCACTTGTTGCCCCAGTTGTGACAGGCTGATCAGTTGTGGGAGTGCCCTCAGTTGGCCACTGGTCTTCTCAGTTGTGACAGGCTGATCAGTTGTGGGAGTGCCCTCAGTAGGTCCACTTGTTGCCCCAGTTGTGACAGGCTGATCAGTTGTGGGATTGCCCTCAGTAGGTCCACTTGTTGCCCAGTTGTGACAGGCTGATCAGTTGTGGGAGTGCCCTCTGTTGGCCCACTGGTCTTCTCAGTTGTGACAGGCTGATCAGTTGTGGGAGTGCCCTCAGTAGGTCCACTTGTTGCCCGGTTGTGACAGGCTGATCAGTTGTGGGAGTGCCCTCAGTTGGTCCACTTGTTGCCTCGGTTGTGACAGGCTGATCAGTTGTGGGAGTGCCCTCTGTTGGTCCACTTGTTGCCTCGGTTGTGTCAGGCTGATCAGTTGTGGGAGTTCCCTCTGTTGGTCCACTTGTTGCCTCGGTTGTGACAGGCTGATCAGTTGTGGGAGTGCCCTCAGTTGGTCCACTCGTTGCCTCGGTTGTGACAGGCTGATCAGTTGTGGGAGTGCCCTCAGTTGGTCCACTCGTTGCCTCGGTAGTGATAGGCTGATCAGTTGTGGGGTGCCCTCAGTTGGTCCACTCGTTGCCTCGGTTGTGACAGGCTGATCAGTTGTGGGCGTGCCCTCAGTTGGTCCACTCGTTGCCTCAGTTGTGACAGGCTGATCAGTTGTGGGTGTGCCCTCAGTAGGTCCACTTGTTGCCCCAGTTGTGACAAGCTGATCAGTTGTGGGAGTGCCCTCAGTTGGCCCACTGGTCTTCTCAGTTGTGACAGGCTGATCAGTTGTGGGAGTGCCCTCAGTAGGTCCACTTGTTGCCTCGGTTGTACCAGGCTGATTAGTTGTGGGAGTTCCCTCAGTTGGCCACTTGTCTTCTCAGTTGTGACAGGCTGATCAGTTGTGGGAGTGCCCTCAGTAGGTCCACTTGTTGCCCCAGTTGTGACAGGCTGATCAGTTGTGGAGTGCCCTCAGTTGGTCCACTTGTTGCCTCAGTTGTGACAGGCTGATCAGTTGTGGGAGTGCCCTCAGTAGGTCCACTTGTTGCCTCAGTTGTGACAGGCTGATCAGTTGTGGGAGTGCCCTCAGTTGGTCCACTTGTTGCCTCGTTGTGACAGGCTGATCAGTTGTGGGAGTGCCCTCAGTTGGTCCACTTGTTGCCTCGGTTGTGACAGGCTGATCAGTTGTGGGGGTGCCCTCAGTTGGTCCACTTGTTGCCTCAGTTGTGACAGGCTGATCAGTTGTGGGAGTGCCCTCAGTTGGTCCACTTGTTGCCTCGGTTGTGACAGGCTGATCAGTTGTGGGAGTGCCCTCTGTTGGTCCACTTGTTGCCTCGGTTGTGACAGGCTGATCAGTTGTGGGAGTGCCCTCAGTTGGTCCACTTGTTGCCTCGGTTGTGACAGGCTGATCAGTTGTGGGAGTCCCTCAGTTTGGTCCACTTGTTGCCTCGGTTGTGAAAGGCTGATCAGTTGTGGGAGTGCCCTCAGTTGGTCCACTTGTTGCCTCGGTTGTGACAGGCTGATCAGTTGTGGGATGCCCTCAGTTGGTCCACTGTTGCTCGGTTGTGAAGGCTGATCAGTTGTGGGAGTGCCCTCAGTTGGTCCACTGTTGCCTCGGTTGTGACAGGCTGATCAGTTGTGGGGGTGCCCTCAGTTG